TAGTTGTGGCTCATTGGCTCAGTGGTTGTAGCATGGGGGTTTAGTTGCTTCTTGGCATGTGGGATCTTAGTTCCCTGACCAGGGATTGAACCTGAATCCTCTGCATTGCAAAGCATATTCTTAACCACTGGACCACTAGGGAAGTCCCAAGAGAGCATTTTAAATGCTATGGTAAACAGGAGAGAATGGTGTGGCCCATGGAATTCAGACCTAGATTTGCTTCTCATTTTGGCCTTGTCCTCATTCTACAAGTGATAAGAGGTACTTTAGTTTTATTGAAATTTGCTAGCTACTTATCAAGGACTCAGATATCCAGATATCAAGGTCTCATTAGGAAAAGGGATTCATATCTGTCTTTGATTTGGATTTGAAGGTAAGGACTGGGGAGGAATGAGTAGAATATACCATTTCCTACTTTCCCCTTCCCCCATCTAACCTGGTCAATTCATACTGAAGTTTTTTTTTCCCCTGGATAAATTAGATTAGCTTCTGATTAGAGATTAGATGCTTAATTCTTTAATATAATCACTGTTTAAACATTTCAAAGTATTTGAAAGCAAATACTTTGGCAAAGAGATTTCTTTTTTTTTGTATACACAACATTAACAATATCTTGTTGTATCCAGCTTCAACAAATCTTCATATTAAAGAAACTTAAAAAAATTATGGGGAGTCCTGGCAAGATGGAGTAGTGACATGGTGTCCTCATGCTTAAATCTGGAGATAGCATAAACAAAATGTAGTTTCTATGACAACAATCTGGAATTATATTTTATAACCACCTAATAATTATTATTAACAGAATTATTTTGGTCCTCAGAATCAAAGCTAATAGTTTATTCATCTGCTTTTTAAATTGGCAGCTGCATATCAAGTTCTGTCATAATATTTCTGGGAGTTAAAAATTAATATTTGCAAATAGATGCCTGGCCATTTTTGTAGATGTTTTTCAAATTTAGTGAAATGTTCCATTTTTACTTTTGTCTAAAACGACTATAATGTTGTTCACTGAAATAATGGGGACCAGCCCTGAGATTACCAGATTTCAGGGTTGATAAATATGTATAAAGTTCTTATTACCAAAGCAAGATAAATGTAGTTAAGCTTGCTTAACACGAAGTGTGTATTCTTCCAGATCATTTTATAAGCTTATGCATACATGCAATTTTAATGTAACCATAATATATATAAATATTTTTTCACTTATAACATCTTACATGTTTTAGCACATTTTAAAGGGCTGCATAATACCCTTTAGTATGGATGTACCATTATTTATTTTTGTTGTTGTTCAGTTGCCCAGTTGTGTCCAACTCTTTGGAATCCCATGGACTGCAGCATGCCAGGCTTCCATGTCCTTCACTATCTCCCAGAGCTTGCTCAAACTCATGTCCATTGAGTTGATGATGCCATCCAACCATCTCATCCTCTGTCATCTCCTTCTCCTCTTGCCTTCAATCTTTCCCAGCATCAGCATCTTTTCTAATGAATCAGCTCTTCACATCAGGTGGCCATATATCAGAGCTTTACCTTCAACATCAGCCCTTCCAATGAGTATTCAGAGTTTATTTCCTTTACGATTGACTGCTGTGATCTCTTTGCTGTCTAAGGGACTCTCACATCTTCTCCAGCACCACAGTTCAAAAGCATCAGTTCTTCAGTGCTCAGTCTTCTTTATGGCCCAGCTCTTACATCCATACATGACTACTGGAAAAACCATAGCTTTAACTATATGGACCTTTGTTGGCAAACAAATGTCTCTGCTTTTTAATACACTGTCTATATTTGTCATAGCTTGTCTTCCAAAGAGCAAGCGTCTTTTAATTTCATGGCTGCAGTAACCATCTGCTGTGATTTTGGAGCTCAAGAAAATAAACTGTGTCACTGTTTCCATTGCTTCCCCATCTACTTTCCATGAAGTGATGGAACTGGATGCCATGATCCTAGCTTTTTGAATGCTGGGTTTTAAGCCAGCTTTTTCCACTCTCCAGACACCTTTATCAAGAGGTTCTTTAGTTCCTCTTTGCTTTCTGCCATAAGGGTGGTATCATCATCTGAGGTTATTGATATTTCTCCTGGCAATCTTGATTCCAGCTTGTGCTTCATCCAGCCTGACATTTTGCATGATGTACTCTGCATGTAAGTAAAATAGCGGGGTGACAATATACAGCCTTGATATATTCCTTTCTCAATTTTGAACCAGTCTGTTCTATGTCCAGTTCTAACTGTTGCTTCTTGATCTGCATACAAGTTTCTCAGGATGCAGGTAAGGTGGTCTGGTATTCCTATATCTTGAAGAATTTTCCACAGTTTCTTGTGATCCACACAGTCAAAGGCTTTAGCATAGTCAGTGAAGCAGAAGTAGATGTTTTTCTGGAATTCTCTTAGTTTTTCTATGATCCAACGGATGTTGGCAGTTTGATCTCTGGTTCCTCTGCCTTTTCTAAATCCAGCTTGTACATCTGGAAATTCTTAGCTCATGTACTACTGATGCCTAGCTTGCAGGATTTTGAGCATAATCTTGTTAGCATGCGAAATGAGTGTAATTGTGTGGTAGTGTGAACATTCTTTGGCATTGCCTTTCTTTGGTATTGGAATGAAAGCGGACCTTTTTCAGTCCTGTGTGTGAGTTTTCCAAATTTTCTGGCATATTGAGTGCAACACTTTTACAGCATCATCTTTTAGGATTTGAAATAGCTCAGCTAGAATTCCATTACCGCCACTATCTTTGTTGGCAGTGATGCTTCCTAAGGCCCACTTGACTTCACACTCCAGGATATCTGGTTCTAGGTGAGTGATCACACCACTGTGGTTATCCTAGTTTATCTATCATCCATTATTTATTTAATGGAGCAGGTAAAATAAACATGTCAATTTTTTTCTCTTTTTTCTTTTTTGCTATTTGTAATTATATTCCATGTTGTGAAGAACATCCTTATAGCTAAATCTTTGTATGAACTCTTGATTATTTCCTGATTTTACTATAATTTACTGAGACAAAAGGACCAGGGTAGTATAAAACTTTTGAATATCTTACAAGCTTAAAACCACTGTATGACAAACTTTCGATTGTCATTTGGCAGTACCTAGCAATATATGACCAAAATTTTTACATGTTGCAGATTCTAATGTTAAGGTTAGAATTAAAATTATTTACAACTGTTTTGCTTCTGTGTTTCTATAAACTCTGTGGAAAAATATGGAATTATATACAATGGGATGCTTTTATATCTTCTTTTTTCCCCCAAATTACTCAGATTAATAGGATGTATTGTAAGATATTGTCAAATTTACAGTTTATCGGATTCAGCCTTCTTAGTGAGTACCTACATGACAGTATATTGCTATAAGCCTCACGTAAATATTTTTGTTAAAAAATAAAATATTGTACAATATTGGGTTAAAATCAGTGTTTCTTTGAGTAGTAGCTAACTTTTGTGCATTTGAAGCAGTTCTACGTTTCCATTGTGATATAATTCTTTGTTGTCAGATGAAAGTGAAAGAAGAAACTTGAACTTTGTTAATTTCATTTCATATCTTGGTTTACAGAACACATCTTAAAATCAGTAGAATAATTAACAAGATGGAATACATTTTTTTCAAGTCAGCACATTTGATATTCTCATGTGCTTATATTCAGTTATGGCATTTCTTTAAGTTTGGTCCTTTTATAGGAAGAGTATTTATCAATAGGGTTTCCCTGGTGGCTCACATTGTAAATAATCTGCCTGCAGTACAGGAGACTCAGGTTCAATCCCTGAGTCAGGAAGATCCCCTGAAGAAGGAAATGGCTACTCACTCCAGTATTGCATAGAGAATTCCATGGACAGAGGAGCCTGGCCAGCTGTCGTCTTTGGGGTTGCAAAGAGTCAGACACAGCTGAGTGACTCACATACAGTTTTGATTATTTCCTTGGGTTAAATTTTTAGAAATGAAATTGCTAGACATTTTTAAAACTTGGATAATTTAATTGTTGAATTACTCTTCAGAAAGGTCTAACCAGTTTACAATCCCATAAATCCCAGTGGTTTATGAAAATGCCTATTTTTCTGTACACTTAGTATTTGCTATCCTTTGAAAGTTTTTAATTATACAATGTAAGTAGTAACATAAAAGCAATAAAATGGGAAAAATCACCAAAGAATGCTATTTTCTTAACATGGTAATGATTATAATATTTGTTATAAATAATCCAGGGAGATGAAGGAATATAAGTAGAGTCACCAGATATGGAAAAGCTCGACTCATTCACAGGAGCTAGAGTTTGGTGTCTCTTCAAGGGGAGGAGAACTAGAGAATGAGGCAGGGACCAGTTCATTAAGGACTTTATTTGTCATCCAAAGGGACTTAACCTTATAGAAGATGAGGTGCCATCATTAGATAATTTGAACTACGTAGGTAAGTGATTGATTTTGATAGATTTGCATTTTAGAGTCAGTCTGCTGTCACCAGTGGCAATACATTGGATGGATTAGATAAATGTTTAAAATTGTTTTCCAGCAGAGTTGAAACTTGCATTTGTAAAGGGCTTAAACTTTTTCCTAGAAGCCAGTATTGCAGCTGTTGGATACTAACACCTCAAAGGGATTGTTGGCAGTAGTTAAGTGAAGAGAAAACAAGAGAGAGAGAGAGAGACCATATAACATGTTAAACATTGAATCACTGATTTATCTGTTTCTGGAGTGATAGCAACTCATTAGTAGTTTTACAATTAAGACTGGAAGCCATTGAAAGATAACAAACAAAAGTATATGAAACAGCACTATCTTTTTTATGAAAAAGTCTTGGTGAATATCAATACTGCTGCATTTTGTTTTTCTTTATCTGGTAGTAACATCAATAGGATTGATATAGACATTCAGTAATGTAGACATTCTACCTGGTTTGTGTGGTAACCAAAATATGAAATGTAACAGACATGTTTTCTGCAATAATAGAAAATTGTACCTTCAACTTGAAGTTTGCTGTTAAAATAAGTTTTATTTCTGTGCTGTTTACAGCCTGTATCCCAAGCAGTTGGAGCTGAACAACAAGCGACTCTTCTAAAACCAGACTTAGTTCGAAGGTGAGTATCTTCAAATTAATACCATGAATGCAATGAGGGCATGTTGAAGTATTTGCCTTCTTTAGGTGCTTAGTCTCCTGACTACAGAAGCTTCTGTGTTCTAGTATTTGTGTGTATGTTCAGTAAAAATAGTAGATATTATTCTTACTTTTTTATGTTAATAAGCATCATATGGATTGTGATATTATTGACCATTTTCTTGTTCACATTATTATAATAGTCTGGGTTTGTTTGTTTTTTTTTGGCATGCGGGATCTTTGTTCCCTGACCAGGGTTCGAATCTAGGCCCTTGGCGGTGAGAGTGCAGAGTCCGAACCACTGGACCACCAGGGAATTCTCTTCATATTCTGTTCTTAAGAAAAGATTGTAAGAATTTAAAAAAGGAAATAATGTAATTTACACTTCCAGCTAATCTAAATAAATAATTTACAACCAGATATAATAATACAATTATATTCTTAAAAAACCAGAGAATTTTATATATTGTATATATATAATTGTATTTTGATTTGGTAATAACTTTCTGACCCAGGAATCAAACTGGGGTCTCTTACATTGCAGGCAGATTGTTTACCAGCTGTGCTACCTGGGAAGCCCCTATCTTGTTCATATTGGCTTAATTCATTTGTTCTGTGTTCAAATTCACTGATATTGATTCTTTCCTTTGTCGTATTCATTCTTCTATTGTGCAGAATGAATCGTTTATTTCTATGATTATATTCCTTTTATAATTTTCATTTGTTTCTTCCTTAATACATTCTGTTATGAGATTTTCTGACTTTTCATTTGTTTCAGGAGTATTTGTAATTGATGTTTGAAACAATTTGATAATGGCTGCTTTAAAATCCTTGTCAGGTAGTTCTGATTCATCCTGATTAATCCTGGTCTTGGCATCTCTTGATTGACTTTTCACATTCAAGTTGTGATTTTCCTGGTTTCGCGTATGACAAAGAATTTTCATTTGTATCCTGGACATTTCGGACATTATGTTAGGATATTCTGGATCCTGTTTAAATCCTCTATTTTAGCAGGGAGTCACTGTGTTTAGGTGCCAAGGTACTCATCTATCAATACTTTTGTGGACTATAGTTTAAATGCCAATTTAGTTTTCAGAGTCCCTGTAGTACTATTCTGGTCTGCTTTGGTTCATATATCACTGGGGCCCACTGCTGAACCAAGGGGTTGGAGAGCAGTGCCCTAGGCCCCCTGCCCTAGGCTATCCCTCCAGACCACATGGTACTGGTAGAATTCCCACCAGCGTCACCAAGGGAGGAAAGGGTCCACTTTAACTACCTTCTGTTGCTGAGTTGGGGCTTAGGAGACCACTGTGCTTCAGCTACCTTTGCCTTTGGCCAAGAGACGCTGAACCTGGACTGCTTTCTGTCACTGAGTGGGTAACCAGGAGATGCTTAGCTGCTATATTTTTCTTCAAGTCTTGGGAGTCCCTAGCCAGTCTGCCTTCATCTTTTCACTCTTCAGTGCCCTCCTGTGATACTCTACTGTATTATTTCCAGATTTTATAGTTATACTTAGGGGTATAATTTCTGCCATCTTTTCCAAACCCTAAACTAGTGTTTTAAGATAACTTTGTAAAGTGAATGATACAGCTGCATTGACTAAAATTATATCCCTTTTATCCTCTTAAGATATTATGTTACTGCTATTTCTTTGTCTATTAAAGAACTAAGAGTAGTATTATTGAATCTTCCTTCTCCACTTGTAGTTATGAAAATTCTTTTTCACAGGGACATAGAAAAAATATTAGGGGTTATTTTTGTCTTTTCTTATATATCTTTATACAGATACTTCATGAGTAGTTCTTTAGGAGAAAGGACTTAACCTAAAAATCAATTTAAAAAATATCTGGTGCTTACAGACCTCATTTAAGTTTCAAATGTATTTATTGAAATATATTCAAATTTATTAAGGAAAAAGCTGAAAAATACCTTTGATACAGATCAACTGAAAGTCTGCCCTGTCATAATCATATTGACTTGAACCTGCAAAATATAGCTAGTTAGAATTAATCATGTTGAATCATTTTCACATTATTCATTCAGTTTTTTTAACCAAAATTGTGGTGTATTTTTTCTTCTTCCCTCCTCCCTCACTCCCTCCCTCCTCCTTTGTTTCTTTCTTTCTTTCTATTGAGGTAAACCTGACGTACACCCTTATGTTAGTTTCAGATGAACAATGTAATGATTTACTATTTTTATGTATTTTGAAATGATCACAATAAGTCTAGTTTAAATATTCATCACCATATATAGTTAATAAAAATTTTTTTCTTATGATGAGAACTTTAAAAATCTACTCTAAGAAACTTTGAAATATGCAGTACAGTATTATTAACTATCATTGCCATGATGTACATTATATCCCCATGATTTAATTATTTTATAACTGGTATTAATAGTTTGTACATTTTGACTCCCTTCACCCATTTCACCCACTCTCTACCTTCCCGCCACTCCCTCTGGCACCCAGCAATCTATCCTCTGTATCTTTGAGCCTGGGGAATTTTTTGCTTGGTTGTTTTTTTCTATTTTTAGATTACACAAAAAGATCATATCGTATTTGTATTTCTCTTTCTGACTTATTTCACTTAGCATAATGCCCTCAACTTATATGTATGTTGTTACAAATGGCAAGATTTTATTCTTTTTATGTTGTTGTTCAGTTACTAAGTCATATCTGACTCTGGAACCCCATGGACTGCAGCATGCCAGGCTTCCCTGTCCTTCACTATCTCTCAGAGTTTGCTCAAACTCATGTCCATTGAGTCTGTGATGCCATCCAACCATCTTATCCTGTCACCCCCATCTCCTCCTGCTCTCTATCTTTCCTAGCATCAGGGTCTTTTACAGTGAGTCGGCTCTTCACATCAAGTGGCCAAAGTATTGGAGCTTCAGCTTCAATATCAATCCTTCCACGGAATATTCAGGACTGATTTCCCTTAAGATTGATTGGTTTGATTTCCTTGCTGTCCAAGGGACTCCCAAGTGTCTTTTCTAGCACCACAATTCGAAAGCATCAGTTCTTTGGCACTCAGCCTTCTTTATGGTCCAACTCTCATATCCATACATGACTACTGGAAAAACCATAGCTTTGACTATATGGACCTTTGTTGGCAAATGGATGTCTCTGCTTTTTAATACACTGTCTAGGTTTGTCATAGCTTTTCTTCCAAGGAGCAAGTGTCTTCTAATTTCATGGCTGCAGTCACCATCTGCAGTGATTTTGGAGCCCCAAAAGGTAAAGTTTGTCACTGTTTCCATTTTTTCCCCATCTATTTGCCATGAAGTGATGGGACCAGATGCCATGATCTTTGTTTTTTGAACGTTGAGTACTAAGCCAGCTTTTTCCACTCTGCTCTTTCAACTTCATCAAGAGGCTCTTTAGTTCCTCTTTACTTTCTGCCGTTAGAGTGGTATCATCTGCATATCTGAGGTTGTTGATATTTCTCCCGGCAGTCTTGATTCCAGCTTGTACTTCATTTCGCATGATGTACTCTGCATATAAGTTAAATAAGCAGGATGACAATATACAGCTTTGTTGTACTCCTTTCCATTTGGAACCAGTCTGTTGTTCTATGTCCGGTTCTAAGTGTTGCTTCTTGACCTACATACAGGTTTCTCAGGAGGTAGGTAATGTGGTCTGGGAGTCCCATGTCTTGAAGAATTTTCCACAGTTTGTTGTGATCCACACAGTCAAAGGCTTTAGTATATTCAGTGATCAGGAGTAGATTTTTTTCAAGAATTCCTTTTATAGCTGAATAATATTCCTTTTCTTTATCTCATTTTCATTTCTTGTTCTGTTTCCTGCACTCTCCTGTCTTCCACACCTCGTCTATCCTCTGTTGATTTTGTTACATGAACAGGCATATTATTTTGAGTTAGAATTGGTTTTTAGAATTTTATTTGAACATATTAATTAAAAAAAAACCTAAACAAACAAAATGAAATTGGTCAAGAACATCCACTGATAACAGGTTCCACAGAGGTCCATCACTAGCAGTGTTTTTCTTTCACTCCCACTACTGTGAGATGTTTGCCTAATACATACAAAGTAATCGCAATGTTTCATAACTTTTAAAAACAGCTTCATTGAGATTTAATTTACATACCATTAAATTTTCATCCATTTAAAGTGTACAATTCAATGGCATTTAGTATATTTGCAAAGTTTTACAATCATAACTTTTTGAGAGATATTGTACTACTTATATATTTTATTTAAACTCATTATTATTTTATAATCGAGGGTTTTTCTTAGAATTTTGCCATCAAAATGGAATGATTCTATCCACACAGGGATTTCAGATGTTATCAATCTGATTTGGGTTAAATATTGGACTTTGAGAATCATAGAATAATGTCTTCTCTGAGAAATTGAATTGGAATTGCTTTTGTTTTTGCTTTTTTAAATAATAGTTTGAATCATGATGTGGGACCTGTGAAAGAAAACACAAATACCCCTGATAACCCAAGTGGAAATGGCAAACAAGATCGGATCAAACAGAGAAGAGCTTCCTGTCCTCGGTCAGACAAGGGAACTAAATTTCAGCTTACTGTTCTTCAGGTCAGTGTGTAAATATGATTTGGTTAAGAGTGCATGTTGAGTTCTGGGGAGTCAGGGAGGGGCGATGTTGCTGTGGCAGTGAGTATAGAGTATGAAATTCTTCAGCAGACACCCTTGAGCACAAATCTTTGTATTTGTGCTGATTATTTCCTTATGATAGATTCTTAGAAGTAGAATTATTGATCAGAGTGTGAAGATTTTTAAAATTTCTCAATACATATTTCTAGATTGTTGTCCAGAAAGGTTGGTCCAATTTACATTTCTATTATCAGTGAATTTTCTTTTGCTTAAAGGTCAATTTGTGGGATTAGGAGAATTTTGAAAATGATTAGCCAGATTTAGATCTTTGCATTGCAGATAGTTATAGGGACTATTGTAACTCTTTTTGTATTTTTATAAAAGTTGTGTTCCTTTTCTTTCCTGATTTTTTTGCTGAATAATTTGAGCCTTAGATTTGTCATACAGTAGTTATTTAGACAGCATTTCACCAAGGGAAAAGTAGAATCTTTTTAGATTCTCAATATTTTAGACCATTTTTTCATATATTTTATGTGAGCTCATTGAAATATTTCCTGTACCATTTGCAAAGAGAAGGCAATGACTGACTCTTAAACTAGTAAAATGTTTGTGCCCAGGTTTCAACCTCTGGAGACAACATGGTGGAGTGTCAACTGGAGACACACAATAATAAGATGGTCACCTTCAAGTTTGATGTTGATGGTGATGCACCAGAGGATATTGTAGACTATATGGTAAGTACAGAAAAGACAAATTATTTTCCCTTCATCATTATGTGTCTTTTTCCCCTTTAATTCTCCCCCTTCAATTACTCAGAGACATATTTTCTTAGGGTACTGCTACTTTTTAAAATTCGTAAAGAGCTAAATTGTTTATGATCAAAAGTAAGTCACTATACCCCCTCTGGTGTCAGTATATTTATGTGTAAAATATGAGGGAGTTTCATTAACAGAGGAGCTAGGCCAGTGGTTCTTAACTCTAGCTGCATGTCAAAATCAACAGAAGAGCTTTTAAAAAACAGTCCTTTGGGGAATTCCTTAGAGGTCCAGTGGTTAGGACTTGGAGCTTTCACTGCAGTTGCCCGGGTTCAGTCCCTGTTCCAGGAACTAAGATCCTGCAAACCTCATGGTGTGGCCAAAAAAACCCTAAGACAAAAACAGTTCTGTTGCCTGCGTCCCTAATTAAACTAGAATTTGGGGGGAGGAGGCCTAAGCATTAATAGTTTATACAGTTATAACATCTTACATATAGGTGTTCAAGTAATGTTCATCATTTCATTTAGTTTTTGTATTTTCTTTGAATTGTTAGGCTTAAGTTAGTATTCCCCTCTTTTTTTAGGGGAATGGGCTAGGGTGGCAGGAAGAGTACATAATACTTTCGTTTCTGCCAGTTTTCTTTGAATATATATTCCTGGTCAAGCAGAATTCAACATTTGAAAATGTTAATAATTTTGTGAATTCTGTCTCTTATTCAACTTAGTTTTTTTCTGAACTGTCTCGGAGCCATACTTTATCATCTTTAGAGATGTTTCATTTTGTAATTTTTGATTTAAAAGCTTTTGGGTTTGGACATCCTAGTTTTAAATGTAAACATTGCCTCAGTTATGTTATTCAAATGGCAATTAATTTATAGAATGCCAAAATTTTTTTAAAAATGCTGGCTTCTGGTAGGTAAGTAGTACCAATCTGACAAATGTTGGTGATCTCAATTCAAATAGAAAGAATAATTTAATGTGTTGTCTGGCATTTTATTGCTGCTGCTGCTGCTGCTAAGTCGCTTCAGTCGTGTCCGACTCTGTACGACCCCATAGACGGCAGCCCACCAGGCTCCCCCGTCCCTGGGATTCTTCAGGCAAGAACACTGGAGTGGGTTACCATTTCCTTCTCCAATGCATGAAAATGAAAAGTGAAAGTGAAGTCACTCAGTAATGTCCGACTCTTAGCGACCCCATGGACTGCAGCCCACCAGGCTCCTCCATCCATGGGATTTTCCAGGCAAGAGTACTGGAGTGGGGTGCCATTGCCTCCTCCGATTTTATTGCTAGTCTTTCTTAATTCTGTTGTGGCAATCGGATCTAAATACCAATTAATTTTTCTTTATGGTAGTCACCATATTATAATTTCAAAGAAAGTAAATACATTCTTTTGAATAGACTTACTTTTCCTTTTGGATAGGTTGAAGATAACTTTGTCCTGGAAAGTGAAAAAGAAAAATTTGTGGAAGAATTGAGGGCTATTGTAGGTCAAGCCCAGGAGATCCTTCATGTTCACTCTGCTACAGAAAGAGCTGTTGGAGTTGACTCTGTTACTGTGGAACCCAGCAGTAGCCAAGTAAGAGCAGTTGCTTAGCAAATAGGTCTTCTTGAATATATATCAGGAACTTCTTTATTTATCTATTTATTTTTAATTCAGACAGGATCATCTGAACAAGTACAGATAAATTCTGCCTCCAGTCAAACCAGCAGTAAGTATATTTAACAAAAATTTACCATTTGGCTTTTGAAGCAAGACATTTGGAAACTTTTAATTTACACACCTTGGGAAGGATATTAGCCAATAAAGGAATTCGATAAATTGTTGATATAGGTTTCCCCACACTTTGAAATGACTTTATAGCTCAGAAATGAGAAGTAAAAAAAGTGAGAAGTAAAACTCTTCTCCAAATTTCCTCTAAGTATTGGTTCTTTACCTGATTAATTTATTTCTGAGTTGTTGCATGGTATGTTACCAGAAAAGCTGTCAAATTACTGATGACGTTTAACAGCTTTAATGTTTGAACTTAACTGGCAAGTTTTATTTTTCTCCTGATATGAGATGGACAGTGACTTTCTTAACTAAAATCACTGTGTTCTGAGTTTGCCTCATGTTTAATATCAGTAGCATTCGTTTCTTGATTTCATTCCACAAATGATATGCTTCTACCTGCTCTGATTACTAATAAGTTTTGTAAATCAGATACCAGATAAATGTCCATGGACTAAAAATGAGGTCTTCTATTTTCTCACAACCTTTTTTCTCCATTCTTTTCAACTCTGATCATAGGTATATTTAGAGTATCTGTGAGGGAGAAGAGCCATAGCCAAATGAAGACCTCTGAAGGAATTATAATAGCATGAACAAACAACAGGTGGTGTGGGAATTATGGAACCAGATACCATTATTCTGAAAGTTAGATTGTTTTAGGATGCCAGGGTTTTCTCCTCTGTCTTCATTTTCTTATTAGTAGGAGTTTGAGTAGATTTCTAACTGGCAAAGTAGGGTAAAGTTTAAGATAATTACTTATTTGAATAAGTTAACAAAGTAGGAATACAGATGTAGGGGCTTATATTACTTTGTTTTTTAAGTTGTTATAAAGTAAAATTTGCTTTTTTTCTTTTGGTGTAGAGTTCTGTAAATTTTAGTCTTCTTAATAGATATGTGTAAGCACCATAATCAAGATACAGAAGAAAGGTGTAGGTTTTTTTTTATTTATTTTTTCCATTTATTTTTATTAGTTGGAGGCTAATTATTTTACAACATTGCAGTGGTTTTTGTCATACATTGAAATGAATTAGCCATGGATTTACATGTATTCCCCATCCCGGTCCCCCCTCCCACCTCCCTCTCCACCCGATCCCTCATATCTTTTAAGCATAACTACATGCCAAATATTTGCTAAATCTGATAACCCTTCCAACACACACCTGAAAGCATCNATATACATGTTTCGATGCTGTTCTCTTGAAACATCCCACCCTCGCCTTCTCCCACAGAGTCCACAAGTCTGTTCTATACATCTGAGTCTCTTTTTCTGTTTTGCATATAGGGTTAACAAAGGTGTAGGTTTTAATGGAAATAATGCTTTTCATTTTTTTCCAAAAAGAAGTGTCCTGCTTTTAATCACTACTGATGCAATGTTTGTTTCTGAAGAATCCAAAATCCTTCTCTAAAGCTATCTCGCGCTTAGTTTTTTAGAGTATCTGTCAGTCGGGTTTGGGAGGTCTGGTCTTATAAGTTACTAGGCTAACTCGTGCTGTTGGAAATGGAGATAAAAGACAATTTGTTGTTTTAACCTGAGTTTCTTAGTTAACAAGTTAGATATATTAACAATTGCTTAGCATATTAATTTTTGCCAATTCTTTCTACAGATGAATCTGCTCCTCCTCAGTCATCCCCAGTTGGTCGATGGCGCTTTTGTATAAATCAGACAATAAGAAACCGTGAGGCTCAATCTTCTCCTTCTCTTCAGCAGTACATGCCTACAGTTCCTGGGTTAAACCTACTTTCTAGTAAGTGTTTGTTGTCTGCACCTTTATCCAGACCTGGAAGATGGCGATGCAAAATATATACCGTATCTTTAAGTTGTTTTCATGTAAAAGACCCTGATGCTGGGAAAGATTGAAGGCAGAAGGAGAAGTGGGCAGCAGAGGATGAGATGGTTAGATAGTATCACCAACTCAATGGACATGAATTTGAGCAAACTCTGGGATATAGGGAAGGACAGGGAAGTCTGGCATGCTGCAGTCCATAGGGTTGCCAAGAGTCAGACACGACTAGCAACTGAACAACAACATGGGTATTTTATGCTTATGAGAATTTCCATAAGCATTTTTGAAGATGTTAGTATTAGAATATAATTTAAGCCATTTAAATTTTATTATTTATGAAAAAAAGAAAAGGTTTTTTCTCCTTGTCAGGTTGAATTCTGTGTATTTTGATTCTTATTTACAAGAGTAGTTTCACACTGGTTCTGATTTGCCCCTTTGTTCCTCCTTGTCCCTTTTGAGTTTGGACTAGTCTGTGCTTTGTACTTAACCAATACATGCTTAGCCATTCTTTGTTATTATTCCAGGTCCAAGAAACATAAGTAATAAGGAAATATCACAGGACACACTGCTTACTCTAGAAAGTAATCCATGCCAGCGTGTACTTTTCACCTCCACATCACAACATAAGGATGTAGTTGATGGTAAGATTTCTGAATATGCCAGTGTAGAAACTAAGCAGCCAGCTATACTTTATCAAGTCGAAGAAGACAGGCAGATAATGGCACCAGTTGCTAGTAGTTCCAATCATACTGCTACTTCAGTTTGTGCAGTTCCACTTGAATGTGAGGGACTCACCAACGAAGCAGGCATATTTCTACCTGTTTATCCAGGTCACCAAGCTGCCAGTCAGGCAGCTTCTGGCGAGTCAACTCAGATTGCTGCTAACTGTCTTACAGCCCCAGCATTTATATCTGATCAAAAGCCTCAGTCCTTACTAGTGCAGCAGCCAACTACAGATGCAGAATTTATTTCCCAAGAAGGAGAAACTGCAGTGAACATGGAAGCAAGTTCTCCTAAGATGGTTGTTCCCACTCAGAATCCCGGCCTTGAACCAACCAGCCTTCTATCCTCTACTGTCCTGGAATCAGATGGGGAAAGACCTCCAAAAATGGAATTTGCAGACAACCGAATTAAAACTCTGGATGAAAAATTAAGAAATTTGCTCTATCAGGAGCATAACATACCTAGCATCTACCCTGAGAGTCAGAAGGATACCCAAAGCATAGACTCTCCATTTTCTTCCTCTGCTGAAGATGTACTCTCATGTCCAGTGCCAGAAGTCATAGGCACCAGTCACTGTGGAATTCAAGATAGTCCTGCACAGTCCCCTAATTTTCGACAGACAGGCTCTAAGATTCTGTCCAATGTGGCTGTGAATCAGCCTGCTAACATATCAGTGTTCAAAAGGGACCTGAATGTGATAACTTCTATACCCAGCGAATTATGTTTACATGTAAGTATCATTCTTTCTAACCAATTCCTTATGCTTTTAAAAGAAATGCCTTCTTTTTTAAAGTTCTGCCCTTTGAAATGAAATTATCTATGTCATAAGATTCTGAGGTCACAGTTGTTTAAAAGGCCATGGGTTAGGATGCAGGGGTCTAAAACTTCTTAATAGAGGCAGTAGAACTATCTTTGGTGAGAGACCCCTCTGTTGAATTAGCTAGGAACTTGTGAGCAATGTTTATGTTTATATTAATGACAGAACAGGACTGATAGATTGTTTTAGGGGGCAGGAAGAACTTGCTTTTAGATTTCCACTTAAAAATACCTATTATCAGTTTCTTTTTTAAAATATTATGGTTTCAATTTAATCTTGTTTGTGGGTTTTTTATTTATCTGAAAAAATTCTTTAAAAGAAAATTAAAATCCCCCATAATCCCCTGACTTTTTTTTTAAATTTATGTAAGAATTTAACTTCTCTTTTCTGTTCCATCAGCTCATAGGGATAACCACTGTCTGGTGCTTATCCACTATATGGTACTTATCCTTCTTGACTTAAGCTTATACAGATCTGGTTAAAAACCTATAACTTTTTATTCAATAAAATAGGATTGTGCTATAAACATATTGGTCTACAACTTAATTTTTTATTTTATAGTATATCATAGACATATTTAAAAATATTTATCACTGTATCTCTTTTATTATTATTTAAGTAATATATGCATGTATATAAAGTAAAATCCACCCCATTTCCAAACCTATAGACACAGCTGTTAATAAATCTTCCCAGATATGGTTTTAACTAGCATACAAATATTTATATAGCACTTTTTTATATGTATATCTATTTGCAAAGATACAGATATATACTATATATTTATATACATATACTTCCTTATATACATGTGCTGTTCTGCACTCTTTTTCCCCACTTACAGACATCTATCCATGTTAGAATACATAGTTTTACCTCAGCTAACAGCATAACATCCCACTGAATAAAAATAACTTACTTATTTTTTTTGTAAACTAGTAATTTAAAGTTATTCAGTTAATTTGTAAACACAAAAATTCAGGAGGTTAGGAAATTAAATTGTTGTGTTGACACTCCCATTCCCCAAACATTTAAGTTCCTGGTTTTAGTTCTTGTGGTCATTGCTTGTAAATAATATACTTACTGATTTTTGGAGTTAGCAATTTCATACAATAAAATCTGACTCATTTCTCTGAATGATGGAGAAATTATATTTTCTCTTTCCTCTATTTTTTTCCCTATACACCTCCCATTTTTTATTACTTAAATTACATTTTAGCATTAGCAAAGTTTATAACATCTACATTTTTTAATAGTTGGTTATGTCTTGTCTGTTGGAGAAGGAAATGGCAACCCACTCCAGTGTTCTTGCCTGGAGAATCCCAGGGACGGGGAAGCCTGGTGGGCTGCCATCTATGGGGTCGCACAGAGTCGGATACGACTGAAGCGACTTAGCAGCAGCAGAAGCAGCATGCCTTGTCTGTAGGTTGATTGGAAGAATTGAAAATCAGTAAATAACGTATTATATGTGTTATCTGATGATCATGTAATGTGATTAGAACCATAAAAAATGAAATGTAATTCTCTATCATTTAAGCTCTGTTGCTCAAAAGAAAATCTTCCAAGTGTCAAAGTCAAATGGATTCTTTTATTTGTTTCAAATGTCTAGTTGCTACATCTAGATCAAACTTATTACCTGCCACTGTTTCTGGTGTCCTAGAATTCTGTTTTGTTTTCCTCCTCAAATGCTTCTATAAATAATATTTTTAAATATGTTGCATGGATTAGCAATTTGATTTTTTTAAATGTCCAAAAATGTCTTTATTTTGTTTTACACTTAGTTAAATATAGATAGTAGCATCATTTTGAGTTAATTTTTGTATATGGTGTGAGATAAAGATCCAGCTTCATTTTTCTGCATGTGATTATCTAGTTGTTCCAGCACTGTTTGTTATTTTATTCTTTTTATTGTTATTATAAATGAAATTGCTTTTTAAAATTTCCTTTTCTTTTTTCTTTTTTTTAGGGAGTCCAGGGAAAGATTTATTTTCACATATCTAATACGAAGGCATATATGTATACAAAGAGGAAATGTACAGTAGTTTTTTCTTGTTTTTTTTTTTTTTTCCATTTATTTTTATTAGTTGGAGGCTAATTACTTTACATCATTGCAGTGGTTTTTGTTAAATTTCCTTTTCTGATTTTTCATTGGTAGCATATAGAAATACAATTGATTTTTTTGATTGTTGATGTTATATCCTTCTACTTTGCTTTGTTTATTAGCTGTAATAGCTTTTGGTGGATATTCTATGTAATGTATAAGATCGTATCATCTGTGAATAGACAGTTTTATTTCTTCATTTCCTTTTTTTCTTATTCATTTAACTTTTTATTTCATGTTTTCCATCTCGTTGTCCTTTTGCTTTTTGTACTGGGAGAATTTCTCTATTTATAAGCAGTTTATAATCTCCTATTCAGCTATTTTTTATATGAGATCATATTTTTAATTTCTAATAATTTCTTTTTCTTATGGATGTAGTATATTCACAGATGTCTTTGAAGATATTAAAGCCTTATTCTGTGTTATTAATGCTATTTCCTTGGCTATTCTGTTTGTTGAGTTTAGTGTTTTCTTAAAGTACTGATTTCCCAAAAGTGTTGGTGATTCTTTAATGTGTACTCGGTTTTTCTTTTTCCCCCATGAGATTCCCTCTTTGTCTGTTTGTAAGTACTATGTATAATTACTATGGTCTTACTCTAGTAATTATGAGGAAAACCTGGGACATGCTTCCTGGCACTGGTTATTGCAACTTGTCTCTGATGCTGCCTAGAGGGAGGTCTAATAGCTAGTCTTCAAAAGTAGCAGGGCTTCCCCTTACTCCTAGATCTTATCTCCTCCCTATATTGCCAATATTTTTCTTGGCCACAAATATTTTCTTCTTGCCACTCTTATTTGGGAGCAGATACCGCTGATGTCTTTTCTTTGTTGTGGAGGTGAGGTAGGAAGGTGCAGAACTGTCTGGCTGTTCCTTCTTTGGTACCCCAACCAGTTCACTTTTCCATTCAGTGGATATCTACTGAGCAGTGAATGAGTCAAGATGTCTGTTTTTTGTGGAACTCACACTCTAGTGGGGGAAAATAAATCCTTAAAAAACAAAAAGGGCTACGATAGGATGACTAAGGAATTACTTTAGATAGGGTGGTCACAGAAGGATTTGTTTGTGATGGTGATATTCACAGGTAGAGACCTGTTTTAGGAACCAAAAGGTCAGTAAGTAGTAGGGTGTTACAAGATGATGTTGAAGTGACAGATAGGAGACAAATTGTATGTAGCTTTGTAAGCATTCTATCCAATTACTCATCCTTTTGGTTGTCAGGGCACTCTCTCCTGCTGCCCATATCTCACACCTGAGTTGACTGCATTTTTAAACAGTTCTTGCATATGTCATTATGCAGACTAAAGGAGGCTACTTTTTCCTCCTTTAATCTTATATGCATGTGTCTATATATGATTTTCCTGTTGCACTTATAGCTTTGGGTTGATAAGAGAAGCTAGAACTTGTATTTATCATCTTGATCCAATTATTACTTAATAAAAATCTTTTCTGTAATTTCAGTGGGACTGATGTAACACTTTCTAAATTGTAATATTATTGAGAGTTTTTTTTTCTCTTTATGAAAGTAGTATTGCTAGTCCAAAATAGGACTTTGGAAAATAAAAACTCATTGTTCAGAATTTTACTTTTAATGACTATTGACTCTAAGTATTAAAAATGCTTATCCCAAACTGCAGTTTACTTCATGCTGCTTTTAGGCTATCTTGGAGAAGGAAGGGGCAACCCACTTCAGTATTCTTGCCTGGACAATCCCATGGATGGAGGAGCCTGGCAGGCTACAGTCCATGGGGTCCAAAAGAGTCGGGTACAACTGAGCGACGATCAGGCGATCTTCCTTCAGACAAATGCTAAATCCTGTCCTTTGAGCTTTTCAATACTCTTTTAATTTTCTAAGTTTGTAGGGGCCATTCTCAGGTTTCCCAAAGTATTTCTGGCTGTGTATATTAATTTTTTCTATGAGTTATTGTAAGGAATTTATTTTTAAAGTACTCAGAATACAGCAGTTAATTCTTATTTGGGGGGGGGAAATGGGAATACAAGAAGAGGGAAGTGTGATTTTATAGTCAGCTGTGGCCTGATGTTAACAATATTTACAGTTTGAATTTGAAATAATTTTGAGATCCATTTTAAATTAAATTTCTGTGTGATTACATAATGTAATAAATTTGATTTGGTAATATATTTCTGTAAATCTAAATGCCTAGATATCTTGATTTTCTGTTTATCATGTGTGTCAGGCATCTTTAACTGTCTTAAGTAATATAAGCATAGATGAAAATTTCCATTTTAAGATCATAAGGTTTAACTAACCTTTTTTTTTTTTTAGTAAATTGGTGCAATGAAGGTTATTTACTTCAGATTTTAATTTTCAGTTTTCAAAGTTGCTATGATAAAAAATATTCTAGGGTGGAAATATTTTGCAATTTTATTTATCTGAAGTCTAAATAATATTTTTAAAGAAAAAGAAGGCTTAATTCCTGTAAGTTCAATACTTCAGGTTTAGTCTGACATAGTACTATTAATAGAAATATACATAGCTTTCTGTTTTTAATTGCTGATTGGTCCATACAAGAAACTCCAATGGTATAAACAACTGCTCTACCTCATGTAAATTATTACCATTTTGGTTTTCCTCTTTTTGTCTCCATTAGGAGATGTCCCCAGATGCTTCACTTCCAGGAGATCCAGAGGCCTATCCTGCTGCTGTGTCAAGCGGTGGAGCCATTCATCTGCAGACAGGAGGTGGATATTTTGGCCTAAGCTTTACTTGTCCTAGTCTCAAAAATCCTATTAGCAAGAAATCCTGGACTCGCAAATTAAAAAGCTGGGCATACAGGCTACGGCAGTCAACCAGCTTTTTCAAGAGATCAAAAGTCCGTCAAGGTAGTGTGCTTACAGTCAGGGACATAGACTAGGTAACATCATTTTTCATTTACTTCTGTTTCTTTCTGTTGTTATTCATACACAAATCTTGCCACCTTTTCCATATAGCCCATGTATGTAACATGTCCCATTAATGTCATTTCCATTTTATTTTTCTTTTTGTAACTAATTCAGTTTTAAAGTATTCATTTCATATAGATACTAAGTCTCAGGATAAATCTTGAAATGTCTGATTTAGAGGTAGGGGCTTCTACAGTGTTGCTTATTACATTAACACTTTTTTAATTGTCTAGCAGGAGTTAAGCTTTTTCTAGTTTTCTTCATTTCTGGTAACGTAAACAAATGTAATATTAACAAACCATTTTCTCCTTTCTGCTTACAATTTGACAAAACTTGCAGTGGAAACAGAAGATACGAGATCAGCAGTTGTTCCTGACCCCATTCATCTGACAGGAGAGTCCACAACTGATACTAGGTCTTTGAGTAAATGTAAAGCAATGAGTGGATCATTTCAGCGGGGTCGGTTTCAGGTTTGTGTCTTTGGTAGAATCATTTTCTACAGGGGCATTATGAAAGGTGACAGCATTGAAGATCTAGGTCTGTAGATGGTAATTATTTTAAATTTAGATTGTTAGCATATTTAATTTTTCACCTTTATATGCATCTTCTCACCTTCTGTAGCCATCTACTAAAGGTGACTCTAAAGAAATGAGGATTTTAGTAACTGGAATAGAGTATAGATCTGTATCATTATTTTTCGGTGGGTGGTTGGGTCATCTTTTTTATAAATCTAATTTCATGTCCTTTAGAGTCTTTGCAATTAAAATATTTTTAATTTTTTATTGAAGTATAGATGGTTTACAAAATGGTGTTAGTTGTATGTGCACCTATGGAATGTTTTAATTGCAGAATTTTATTTAAGCAGTATGTAGCCAACTGAATTTACAAAGGGCCCAACTGACAAGCTTTGAATATGGCAAGAATAAATGGGCTTTTTTAAACTTTTTTTTTTCTTTGATTGCTCCATGTGACATGCAGAATTTCCCTGACTAGGGGTCAGACCTGTGGCCCTTGCAGTGAAAGTGCGGAGTCTTAACCACTGGACCACTGGGGAAGTCCTAAATGGGATTTTGAAGTTTTGGTATTATCAATGTGTGTACATCACAGAAGACCATCCAGTTGTCTGTGCCATATATCATATTGAATTTCTTTGTGGGTTTACTCTTTGGTTAGGCAGATCCAGCCATCTCTGCCTTTTTGTATTTCAGGTGATTACAGTTCCCCAGCAGGAGTCAGTGGAAGTGACATCTTTTGGAATAGAACTCATACCAGCATTCAATAAAGTGACAAGTCAGTCTACTGAAGAAGCTTTAGCCTTTACTGAAACAGCAAAGTCTCAATTGATAGAAATGGAACCTGTCACCAACAATCCACAAACTTCACTTTCTTCTCAGAAGTTACAAGCTCTTCACGAAACCTTCAAAGATCCAAGAATTTCCAAACAAACTGACAACTTTTCATCTTTTAGTATAGCTTGTGAGACTGATACATCGTCGATTACTACAGAAAAGGAATTGGAAGAAAATTTGGCCACAGGAAGTAGCATGCAGTCTGGATCTGAACTGCTTAAAGAGAGAGAATTACTTTCTGCTAGGAAACAGCCTAGCTCTAATAGTGAATTTTCAGCTGCTCTTCCTGACAGAGGGAAATCAGTGGTGAAGACTGGTCCAGAGAGAGAAAAGTGCTTACCACTCTGTGAAGAAAAAGCCTGTGTTCAAACACAGAGCTCACACTTCTATTCACCGTCTTCCCCAATGAGCAGTGATGATGAGTCAGAAATAGAGGATGAGGACTTAAAGGTGGAGCTTCAAAGATTACGAGAAAAGTAAGAACTGTTTCTCTCTTGTCACGAATCTGATTGCTTTGGGTTTTATAGAACTATTTGACTGGTAGCTAATTGAGATTGGTGACATTTTGTGCTGTGTGATTAGTCACTCAGTCGTGTCCTGCTCTTTGAGACCCCATGGACTGTAGCCTGCTAGGCTCCTCTGTCTATGGAGATTGTCCAGGCAAGAATATTGGAGTGGGTTGCAATGCCCTCCTCCAGGGAATCTTCCCAACCTAGGGATCAAACCCAGGTCTCCCGCATTGTAGGCGGATTCTTTACCATCTGAGCCATCAGGGAAGCCTGGGGTGGGTAGTCTATCCCTTCTCCAGGGGATCTTCCTGACCCAGGAATCAAACCAGGGTCTCTTGCATTGCAGGTGGATTCTTTACCAGCTGAGCTACCAGAGAAGACCTGGTGACATTTTAATGATTCAAAAAAATTTATGATTGAAAACTACAAAGACAGCATCAGATCCCAGAGGCTAAGGGCTCAGTCCCACAAGACTGCCCCCTTCAGATGCCCATCACAAGTCCAAATAGTGTTACCTATGCTTCTGACCAACCTGGAACCACAGGTTCCCACAAACCTCTCCTCAGGTTTGATTACCTTGCTAGAATGGCTTATAGAACTCAGGAAAACAGTTTTCTTACTAGATTATTGGTTTATTATAAAAGAAAGCAACTCAAGAACAGCCAGATGGCAAGGTATAGAAGGGGCAAGGAACTTCATGGCCTTTCAGGAGTGCCACTATCCAGTACCTCCATGCCTTCATCAACCTAGAAGCTCTCAGAATCCCTGTAATTCACAGATTTTTATGGAAACTTCATTATGTAGGCATGATTGAGTAAATCATTGGCCATTGGTAATTAATTCAACCTCCAGCCTCTTTTCTCTCTTTTAGAGGTACCCATCCTTAGGGGTTATCCAGAAGTCACTTTGTGATTTAAAGGGGTTTGTTTTGAATAATGAGACACTCCTGTATCACTCTGGAAATATTTCAGGAACTGGAGGTATTTGAGGACAAAAGAACAAACATTGTAACAAAAGATTCTCCCATCACTCTTATCATTTAGAAAATTACAAGGGTTTTAGGAGCAGTGTACCAGGAATAGGGACCAAGATCAAATAACATCTTTTTAAATTATAAATCATAATATCACATCAGTAAAAATGCACACAAAACAGTCTGTTTCTCATGCTCTAACCTCATTTCTCATAGGAAACCACTGGTATATAACTTGCCCGTCATTTTTCTATGCATTTACAAATATATAGTTTTTAAGTTTATAAAAGTAGGATCATAATATACATGTTATTCTGTATTTTTTGGCTTAACATTGTCTCCTCTTCATGTTTGCACAAATAATCTCTATTCCATGCATTAGGATAGCATATAGCCATTTAAAGTTTATTTGTGTGTATGTGTGCACAGTCTAACTGTTTGTAACCCCATGAACTGTAGCCTGCCAGGCTCACCTGTCCATGAAGTTTTCCAGGCAAGAATACTGGAGTGGGTTGCTATCTCCTTCTAAAGGGCATCTTCCCTACCCAGAGATTGAGCGCCCCCCCCCCCCCCCCCCATACGCTGCATTGGCCAGAGTAGGCAATGGCAACCCACTCCAGTACTCTTGCCTGGAGAATCCCATGGGCAGAGGAGCCTGGTAGGCTGCAGTCCATGGGGTCACTAAGAGTCGGACACGACTGAGCGACTTCACTTTCACTTTTCTCTTTCATGCGTTGGAGAAGGAAGTGGCAACCCACTTCAGTATTCTTGCCTGGAGAATCCCAGGGACAGGGGAGCCTGGTGGGCTGCCGTCTATGGGGTCACACAGAGTCGGACACGACTGACGTGACTTAGCAGCAGCAGCAGCATTGCTGCATTGGCAGGTAGATTCTTTACCACTGCACCACCTGAAAGCCCCAAAGTTTGTTTAATCCCTCCTTAATGAGAATTTCAGTTTTATCCCATATTTTGCTTATATAAAAAATGTTGAAGTGAACATCCTTTTATGTTTGTGTACTTATATTAGAAGGATATATACCTAAAACTGGAATTGCTAGATTAGAGGTTTGTACATTTAAAATTGTGATTCAGTGTAAATATACCATTTTACATACCAAACAGAAATATATAAAAGTGCCTGTTTTCCCACTCCTTCACAACATTAGACAGGGTGTTATTGATTCTTTTAATTTTATTCCAATCAGGTGAATAAAAATTATTATTTAAAATTTGTGTTCTAATTAATACTAAGGTTGTGTATCATCTCATATTTATTGGCTATTTGTATTTCCTCTCCTTTAGAGTTACCTTTTTTTATTCTTTCCCCCCTTTCTATAAAGTCATTGATTTTTGGCAGATATTTATACGTTCTGAATATTAACCTTTTACTATGTTGCAAAATTTTTTCCTGTTTACACTTACAACATATAATCATGTTAATATTATCAGTACTATGGAACTTTAATTTTTTAAATTATCTTTTACTATATTGAGGTTTTATAAATTTGTCCTTGTCAATTTATTGAGCTTTTTCTTTGTGTCTGATTAGTTTAATGTTGCACTTTAGGAAGACACTGATCATCTTAATTTTGTGAGAATATTCTGTATTTCCACATTCTTAATCTAAATCCCTTGTTAAACTTTACTTGTACTGGTAGAGTTCCTTGGCTCATCTATATGGCGCCTGTGCCTTTAAAGTGCTTTCTGCATGATTTTTCTTCAGACATATTCAGGAGGTGGTAAATCTTCAAACCCAGCAGAATAAGGAGCTACAGGAGCTCTATGAACGCCTTCGAGCAATTAAAGAGAGCAAAGTCCAATCATCAGAAGCTCCTGTATCACCTGCATCACCACGTAGACCAAGATCTTTAAAAAGCAAACTTCGAAGCCGTCCCCAGTCCTTGACACGTGTGGACAGTGGCACAATTGCTACAGGTAAATCAGTCTTATAAGTGATTTTAAAATCCTGGTCAAAGATCAGCAAGATTAGAAAAAGAACACTAATAAACTTATTTTTTATTAAGCTAAGATTATTTAAAGAAGTACACATTTTTCTGACATTTTTTCTTTTTGGTGCCGAATGTTCTTTTATGAAATAATGATAAGAATAGGTGATAGATTTTGGAGAGCAGATGAGTGTTGTTTTCATTTGGAAAACAAATACCTGGAAGCCCAATTTCGATCCCCAAAACAGTTTTTGAAATGTTGGTAGTCAATGGGAACCGCTGGTCTAGCATTTGGAATTTGTTTAGGAGTTTGTTGCTAACAAAGATAATCTTGAAAGTAAAGTCATGTTCTATCTGATGTAAGAGATCTTTATTTATTATGAGAATATTAGAAAAAATGTATGTCTTTGAATTTGTAAAAAGACAGGATCAGTCTCTGCTTAACTAATAAACAAGTTGATCACATCAGACTTCTTGGTTCCATGTGTATAGTCAAGGTGAGGATTAAGGGTGAACTATAAGGGTATGTATGAGATCTGAAAAGAATTTGTGGTAGGCAGAATAATGATTCTCCCCCAAAGATGTCCATGTACAAATTCTTGCAGCCTATGATTATGTTCAGTTGTATGGCAGAGGGTAACTGAGGTTGTAGATGGAATTAAAGATGGTAATCAACATTTTAAAATAGATATCCTGGATTATCTGAGTGGGCCCAGTGTAATCACAAGTTTCCTCTGAAGTAGAAGAGGCAAAAGAAAGGGTCAGAGAAAAGATGTGAAAAAGGAAGCAGTGTCAGAGAGAATTCAGCATTACTGGCTTTGAAGGTGGCAGAAAATCATCACAAACCAAGGAATGCAGGCAGCCCTTAGAAGCTAGAAAAGGCTGGGGAACTTTGAAAAAACAAGGTTTATTATTCACAGGTTGTGGGGGGTACACATTTTGTGGGGCCACATAATGAAAGGTTTGGTCGGGATATGGGAAACAGGAGCACACACTAGAGAGCAAGAGCAAACACTAGCAGACCTGGGGTTCTTCATTTATTTGGGTTAAGGGTGGGGTACCTAGGGTTTTTCAAGTTCACTCCTTATAGGTGAATTTAAAAAGAAAGTGGGAGTTAAAGCACAGGGAGGGAAAAGCAGGATCACTCAAATGATCACTTATCTAGGTCAGCCAGGACTTTCTAAAAGGGCAGCTTCATGGGTGGGGTGGCCTGGCTCTTTATCTAGTTGTATAGCTGGCAGTGTGTTTATTTGAGATAGATTTGTTTGAAATGTATTGTTTAGTCGCTGGGTCATGTCCCACTCTTTTGAGACCCCGTGGACTGTAGCCTGCCAGGCTCCTCTGTCCATGGGATTTCCCAGGCAAGAATACTGCAGTGCGTTGCCATTTCCTTCTCCAGGGAATCTTCCCAATCCAGGAATTGAACCTGCATCTTTTATGTCTTCTGCACTGGCAGGCAGATTCTTTACCACTGAGTCACTTTGAAATACATACCTCAGCAATCAAAAGCTTAATGCCAGGCACTTACTTATATTACAATAAAAAAAAAACTAATTGTCAGGCACTTGCACTACACCACATCTTTCTAATCAACCATGGGATCTCATGGTAAAAAAACATGCCTTTTGAGATTGCTTTTTTTTGACTCAGAACATGTCTTTGCTATTGTTTAAGTTATTTTGTGTTTTAATAGCTTGTTGCTTTTTTGTGTCTCAGTAATATTCCATGGCATGACATGGTATGATGTACCACAGCTTGTTTATCTATTTACCTGTTGAGAGATATTAGGATTGTTTCAGTGTTGGGTTTTACAAATAAAGCTGCTGTAAATATTCATGTGCAGCTTTCCAGATCACTTGGATAAAATACTCAGAAGTAAAATTGCTCGGTCATATATATGTACATTTTAAATTTTTAAGAAACTTCAAAACTGTTTTCCTAAGCAGCTGCATCATTTTCCATTCCCATCAGTAATGTATGAAACCTGTTTTCTCTGGATGCTCTCAGCATATCATATTACTGGTATTCTTAATTTTAACATAATAGGTGTGTGGTAGTATTATATGGTGGTTTTAATTTTCATTTCCCTGATGATTTGTGATATTAGACATTTTTTCCCTTATGCTTATTTGCTATTCATATATCCTCTTTGGTTTAGTGCCTATTTCAGACTTTTGGCATTTTTTGTATCCTGTTTTTTAAGAAGGATTTATAAAGAATTAGTGTTAATTTTTTCTTAATTGTGTGGTAGAATTAAACAATAAAGCCATCTGGACCTTGGTTTTGTATGTTAGAAATATCAATTCAGTCTCCTTCCTTGTGATAGGTCTATTAAGATTTTTCTCTTTCCATGAGTCAATCTTTGTGATTTTGTAGAAATCAGGCCCTTTCATCCAAATTACCAAATTTGTTGTCATATGATTTTTCACAGAATTCTCTTAAAATCCTTTTTATTTCTGTAAGATTTGCAGTGATTTCCCCTCTTTTATTTTTTATTTTAGTACTTTGAATCTTTTCTTTCTTTTGTTTTCCCTTGGTCAGTCTAGTAAAAGGATTGTCAATTTTGTTGATATTTTAAAAAAGCAACTTTTAGTTTCACTGCCTTTCTTTATTATTTTTCTTTTCTTTATGTCCCTTATAATCTTTATTATTTCCTTCTTTCTACAGGCTCTAGTTTGCTCTTTTAAAAGTTTTTTCTAGAATAAACTCAATGAGATCCATACTATATAACACTGACTTTATCAGTTGAATTATGATATGCGTAGGTATGAGTCTCATTGATATTTTTTCTGCCCCTTTCTGTTCACCTTTTGGAACTTCCATTATGCATATTTTGTAATGCTTGATGGTATTCCACAGGTCTTCAAGGTTTTCTTCATTTTGTTTCATTCTTTCTTTCTCTCGGAGTGGATTTCTGTATTATGTGATCTTCTTCTTGGCTGATTCTTTCTTTTGCTCACTCAAATCTGTTATTGAGCCCCTCTAGTGAATGTATTTCAGTTTTTATACTTTTCAACTCCAGAATTTCTATTTTAAAAAAAAACTAATTTCTGTCTCTTTATTTATATTCTCTATTTGGTGTGAGACACTGTTATCATACTTTAATTTTTTAGGCAGAGTTTCCTTAAATTTGAATACAGCTATAATAGCTGATTTTAAAGGCTTTGTCTACAACATCCAAAATGTAAGCCTCTTTCAGGATTTTTTTTTTCACTCTTTTTTCCTTCTTAGTGTATGTGATATACATTCCTATTTCTTTGCATTTCTGTTAATTTTGTGATGAAAACTGGATGTTGTAGATTGTAATAGCTCTTGTACCAGATTCTTCTACCCACTTCCTCACCACAGTTTGTTGTTGTTGCTGTATTCTGTTTGTTTGTTATTCTGGTTATATTTTCTTGTTGCTGTGTATTTGTTTAGTGATTTCCTTCCCTAATTCTGTATTCCTTGAGTTATTTGCTAGCTAGAAAATTTCTAAAAAATTTTTAAAGCCTGGTATACTGGTGTTCGCACCTGGGCCAGTACATTTAGTGGTGAGCAAGTAATTGGTCAGAAAGGAAGTGAAAGTGTTAGTCACTCAGTCATGCCTGACTCTTTGACCCCATGGACTGTAGCCCACCAGCCTCCTCTAACCCATGGAATTCTGCAGGCAAAAATACTGGAGTGGGTAGCCATTCCCTTCTCAAGGGGATCTTCCCCAACCAGGGATTAAACTCAGGTCTCCTGCATTGCAGCGAAGATTTTATTAAATGCCTTGTCTGGTTGTTGTCAAGGAAATTTCTGTGAGAAGGCACACCTTCAGGCTTCAGTTAGCAAGGCATATTTGCAGTTTACTTCTAGCTTGCCTAGGAACTCAAGTTCAGTCAGAATTAAAGTGACTCGTCCCTTTTCCTTTTTCAGGTCTTTCCTGTCCTGGCAGATGTTTACATTCCTGGGGATATGACAGAGGTTTTCAGAGTTTCCTATGGTCATCTAGTTGTCCTGAAAAGTGAAAGTCACTCAGTAGTGTCCAACTCTTTGGAACCCCATGGACTATACAGTCTATGGAATTCTCTAGGCCAGAATACTGGAGTGGGTAGCCTTTCCCTTCTCCAGGGGATCTTCCCAACCCAGGGATCGAACCCAGGTCTCTTGCATTGCAGGCTGACTCTACGAGCTAAATCACAAGGGAAGCCCAAAATTACTGGAGAGGGTAGCCTATCCCTTCTCCAGGGGATCTTCTCAATACAGAAATCAAACCAGAGTTTCCTGCATTGCAGGCAGATTCTTTAGCATCTGAGCTATCTAACATTCTTTTTAAGTTGTAGATCAGGCTCTTATTTGCCCCAACTGAAATCATAGCCTTAAGCATCTGAGTTGTTGCCAAGCACTTTCCTATTGTTTCAGCAATGCCCTGGAGGTAGCTCCCTACCTCTTCCCACCCCCCATACCTATGCCTGGCAGGACTGAACTGAACTCTGAATGAAATCAAATATCCACCTCACTAAGAACAGAGATTTGTTGGACAAATTGTTGTTGGACAAATATTGATTTTGCTCTAGGGATGGTGCTTTTGTTGTTATTGTTGTTCAGTCACTAAGTCTTGTCCGACTCTTTGTGACCCCATGGACTGCAGCATGCCAGGTTCCTCTGTACTCCACTATCTCCTGGAGTTTGCTCAAACTCATGTCCATTGAATCAGTGATGCTGTCTAACCATCTCATCCTCTGTCGCACCCTTCTCCTTTTGCCTTCAGTCTTTCCCAGCATCAGCATCTTCTCCAGTGAGTCAGCTCTTTGCATCAGGTGGCCAAAGTATTTGAGCTTCAGCATCAGTCCTTCCAATGAATATTCAGGGTTGAGTTCCTCTAGGACTGACTGGTTTGATCGCCTTGCAGTCCAAGCGACTCTCGAGTCTTCTCAAGCTCCACAGTTGCTTAGAAGAGAGCTCAAAAGAGTTCTTTCTCCATTGTTGCAGTGCTGGGTTTTGGCTACCGCAACACTGAGCTGA